TTGCTTTCTCATCGTCACTTGCAACTAGCTGATTTTCAGAGTTGAAGACAGATATTGGCTCTGACTCTTTGTTGGCAGCAAGAGCTCTGGTAGCCTCGAACATCCTCTTCGTGTCATCTGCAGCGTTGATGGTGTCAGCTAGTTGGTTGGCTAGAGCTGTCTCTAGCACTTTAAGACGTTTATTGATATCGTTCTTGAGTTTATTGATACGTTTTCTCAATACTGTCCTGTCTCTAACTGAAATTGTTGTTCAGTTCTTGTAAAAGTTTGTGTCTCTCGTCAGACATATCACATACATGCTGATCTGATGAATGATGATGTCTTTGGGTTTTCTTCTTGACACCCACAGTGTTAGAGGCTGAAGACTTGATAGTTTCAAACAGCTGTTCGAATCCTGTCTTAGTGTCAGCGGAAGGTGAAAGACTGTCAATTTGCTGAGTGACAGTTTGCTGGTACTGATCTTGTAGTTCCTTGTTACAAACCAGCGATGTCGTGTTGTACCTTTTAGCAGCTGATGTTCTGTTTCGGTATAACTTAGTTTGCTGCCTCAGGTCTATGGTAGCTTTTACAATCTTATGATCAGAATGTAGTTTAGCTCCTGCATAGGCCCTTGCAGCATTGAGAAAAACAGTGCTGCGTGACCGGCATAAAACATAATCAATCTGAGAAAAATAAGGGCGACTTCTTTTGGTCTTCTTGTCTTTCACCCAACCAGTTCTTGTGGTTATATGACGACTGGAATGACGAAATGCAGTGTTTGCAGCAAACAAACCATTAGAAACAAGAAAATCCAATAATCTCCCACCATTTTCATTTCGTCTTCCAACGCCATGCCTTCCAATGTTCTTATGAAGGCCATTTTGATAGTCATGATCAGACCTTTTGCCAAGTTTGGCATTGAAATCTCCTAGGATCCAGATTTCGTGTCTTGCAGGCACATTAATTGCTTCCTGAAGCTCACAGTAAAACTGGTCAGTAGCAGCCGGATTTGATAAAGTTTTTGGGTTGGTTGGACTGTAACAGTTCACGATTCGCATTTTGCATGGTGGTTTGTTAACAAACTTGGATGGAATAAAAAAGTCCATGAACGCAACTCGATCACTGATCTGATGAAATGAACGGAAATAATGATTTACACGAGCGTTGATTAAGAAACCCAGTCCACCATGACGTCCTGTCTTCTGATCAAACAAAAGGAGGCGATGATTTCCTGGTAGTTTCTTATCCTCAAACTGACAAATTTTAGTCTCTTGAATCCCTATAATGTCCAAGTCATACCTGTCACAGTCGTTAGCAAGCAAGTACTGCTTGTCTGTCTTCGTCAAACCTCGAACATTCCAAGTAGCAAAGCCGAGAAGAGCAATTGGTAACAAGGATTACGGTGACCAGTTCTACAGCGATCTTTCGCGTAGGGGTAGATAGTCTGGTTGCAGCAACCATGCGAGTCCATCACGAACTACACGCCATCCTAGAATATAAATATAACAGTTAGCGATATTTAACTGTTTATCATAAACATATGACTTATTAAGGTACTTATCAAACAGACTACAGAGTTCTCGCGAGTAACGTGACGTCATTATCGAGTGGCTGATCACGTGGCGCTTCCCGCTCACCTCAGGACAGATGTATGTATGTGTCCGTTCGGTCGCGCAGTGCGCACGCAATCATTTCACAAGTTTATTCAGTCAATGTAGTGTGAAGAGTCGAGACGTCTTGAATCTTGATATTTCGCTTGTATGGCTATTGCCTATTAATTATTATTATTGTATTAGCTTGTTTAACTTTAAGGTTAATTTCTTATTGGTTCATCTTCCGCCGCCTGAAATGAAGTCCCAGATCAATCGACCAATCACAGTTAACCTGTAACTTACCCAACACCCATAATATAATTATTACTGTTTACAATGAACTTAACTTAACTTCCTATACTAACACATTGTTTGGCTCTAACTGCATCAATTTCACTGATCTCTTTTTTTACTTTACTTATACCTACTATATATTCAATTGACCTCTTCTTGCTTCGCAGCTGTTGTACATTTGCATATCATATCGACAGTATAAATAAATTATCCGTATCGTATGTTGGTCGTTATATTAGTATATTGTATTGGCCACATCGCACACACTGCACAGTGAAACGTATTGTGATCGGGTCTCGTTGCCCACTAATAGTTACATCAGTTTGTTTAGTTACTGTCACCATGGCGGGTTAAATTTGGCGGTTTTTCGGAAATTCCGCCATTACATTTTTAATCGCCACAAAATTACCCGCCATAAATATACGAACTATGGTATGTAACGTTTCAACTCTCGAGATAATATCTTATATCAGGAACTTAAGCTTCATTGATGACTGATATATGACTGATCACCTCCTTAACTCGTGATCACCTGTTGTTGTAGATAAAATGACTTCATACTAGGAAGTCAAATCAAATTTGTCCACCCCACGTTGTTTGATAAGTGCTGACATTTGCAATTATTATTATGTAAGTATGTATCTCCAACTCATCGCTTACGGTCAGTTGCTCGGAAAACACTTACTATTCAACTTGTAACTTGATTCTTCGGTTTAATCAGTGATCATGATTCTTCATGCAGTGTTGAATATCCACCTGCTTACGATTATATTCTACAAACAAAATGAGTAATCTTAGTTGGAAGGTTACATCTAAATTATTACTAATTACACATCTTAACTTTTGCGATTTTGAGCTCATTCTTGGACCTTCACTTTATTGGTATCATTCTTTGTAGTGGGACAGTATTCTTTGTTGTGGGATAGTTAGTATGTGGGACCAGGGACAGTATGTATGTATAATACCCAAAATCCAAATCGTTTTGCATAATATGTAAATATTTAAAACTCTGTGGGGTACACGCATCCTACTACTAGAGTTACACACAGTTGCACGTATAATTTACCGTGTTAATAAGGACCTTGTGGCACTCTGACCACTCTTTCGACTTTTGGGTTTCAGCTGTGTTCCTTATTGGCCTTGCTGTGCTCTATACCATGCATAGGTTCCCATAAGACTAAATCACTGGCAAGTAGCTCAGGATGTCTGATGCAGTGTCCCGCCATTTTTAATCTCCTGCTTCGTAACTTGTTTGACAGCCTTGGTAGGCTACCATACAAAGTTATATTGCTGACCTTGTCCTTCCATGAGATACCCAGCAGTTTGCTGATCAGTGCTGCAACATTTGATTACGCATCCCATATTTACTAGTGTTACACACAGTTGCACATAATTTACTTACATACAAGTTACCGTGATAAAGGAACTTGTGGTACTGTGACCACTGGCCTCTCTTTCGACTTTTGGGTTTTGTTACTTATTTGTGTTATTTAATCTCATTAGTATACGGATGAGATCACTTCATTTCAAAACCCAAAAACCAAATTAAGCCTCGCTGAGATCATTCTATCACCCTGTACTTGTAGATCATTATTTTATTCTGAAGCCCCTACTTTTTTCATTGTCAAACCTCAACCCCACTGCCTGCACCAGTTCGCTGATTTGGCAAATGTTAGTTTAGGTGGCAGATATGCCAGATTGGCCGGTGTTATTTTCTCTCTCTTCATATTATTTTCTCTCTTCATATTATGTTTTATATTCAGTACCTGCATACTACAATGCACCGAATGAGCATGTATAGGAGGGAGCATCATGAGGTTTGAGTCCCTGATTATTCCTTATAAGGAGATGTATAAAACTAACACGTTATCTTACATCAACACTTCACCGTAAAGTTTTGCAGTCTGCTATCGTTCAGAGATAAAGCTGGTATTCAGCGTCTCTTCCAGCATTTTTCTGGTAATTTCGTTAACTTACGTAAGGCTACTGACTTCATTTGTTCAGAATGCACGTGTTTTAGATAAGGAGTTTTTCTTGCGGCGGCGGGCGGACTAAGATAAGGATCAGTGGTGTGGACTGCCATTTGCACTGCTTTTGCTTTGTTTAGTTGTCGGATTCAGCTGAACCAGGTCTCCTCAAATAACCCCTGATCCCTTCGTCCTGTGTGTTGTTTATCAACTTTGGGAAGAGTTTAAAGTATCGCCCGAGTAGTATCTTGGCACGCATAGGATTGGCTATCGATGAATGAGAACGTGCACTTGTTTCAAGCACTGAATGAGTTTGAACTTCAAACTCGAAGGTTTCTACTTCTAATGTGGATCCTCTAGTTTCGCATAATTCGCATTAATTTTGTTCAAGCTATTACTTGATGACGTATATGTTACCTTACTCGGGAATATTATGACTGGGATAAAGTGGTGGGTTTTGGAAAATTCCGCCATATTTTTCCCGGTCATTAATTTTCCCAGTCATAAATTAACCCGCTATAATGTTCCCAAGTAAGGTAAACTAATAGTAATACATTTTGATGCTTGGTGGGTTTTGGAAAATTCTGCCATATTTTTCCCGGTCATTAATTTTCCCACTCATAAATTAACCCGCTGTAATATTCCCGAGTAAGGTAGATTGGTTTTGTAGAGTCTGGCAACCCTTGTCATCTATACTCCACAGGACGCTTTTTGAAATATAATCATAGATAAGAGAGTCATACATTAGAAATTGGTCTTGGATTACATATTGGGCACGGTCTAGGTACTCAGATCGCTCTTTTGTGGTTCTCAGGAATAAAAACTCTGTGAACAGAAACTGAAACCTGAGAACGCATCGTGCAAGGACCTACCCCTCATACTTTACTTTACTCATTGTAAATTTTACATAACATTTCTGTTTCTCGGCCGCCTCTCTGATTTCAAAGATTTCGAAAAAATTTGAATCTGAAAATGAAACTGTACTTGAACTTTCTTTTATTTTTTGAAAACAATTCGTGGAACAAAATGTGACTTATTAAAAGATAATCCTCACAGTGGTCCTAGTATGCTACAATCAGTTTTATTCTCAAATTGTCTCCTCTCAAGTTTTAGGAACGATATTCGGTCACACGCTTACTACCAGACTAATCCATCTTTACTTTTCTAGGATGTATCTCTACCAACTAGCCAACAACTTAGGGCAGATCCCACCATGCCACGCCTCCAAACTGGGGCACCAAAACGACAGTGGTCCGTACTGGTGTGTGCTCGCTAACACTCCCCACGGTCCCATACCGGGCAAGGTAAGTTCAAATCCAGGTGACCTCTTGTTCTAGTAAAGTTAAGTTTAAAGCTACCTCATAGTTACCCCCGCCCCCCCCCCCCCCCCCCCCCCCCCCCCCTCCCCCCCCCCCCTCCCCCCCCCCTCCCCCCCCCCCCTCCCCCCCCCCCCCACTACTGGTGCATGCTCAAGAACACACCCCACGTGACATTACCACACAGGGTCGACAAGGAAGAGCTTGGTATCCGTACGGTGGGAAGGAGCATGAGACCTCTAGCTTCTCTTATATCCACATGATGCCTGGATGTACTCTTTCTCTTCATAGGAACAGGTAAACTATCATTACACAATAAACTATTATTATATTACGTTGTTTATCAGATCTCGAATTAATGAGCATCTCGTGAGTTGTGCAATTCTATTTCCCCTGTGGGTCTGGTACTTCCAGGTTCTACTGAAATCTAAAAACTATTTACTAATTATAATTAGGTAATTAACCAAGGTTTTATTTTCCAGCGGACCCCACGCCCCTCACGGTGCTCTTGATCTAGGAAGAATGCAGGACGGCTCTGTGTACTTTGTTGTGGTGTGCCACACTCCACACGGACAAATTCCCGGAAAAGCTAAACTGCACACCCCAACTGGTCCTAAAGGCTGGTACTCGTTCGGAGGTAAAGAGCACGAGATCAGGGACTTCTCCTACGTCGTGGCTCACTCTCCTCCTCACCAGGGAGGCGGTTACTCTCCAGGACACCCTCTCTCTCCTGGAGCTACAGTCAGACTAACCTCCAAAGCTCACGGGAAAAATCTGAGGATCAACCAGAACGGAGTTATTGACGGTAGAGGAGGTAACGGACCATGGGCTACCTTCACAGTCCACAGTCGGGGACCTTACATTGCACTGTCTCTAGCCGCTCATCCTAAAAGGTTCCTGGCCATCAAGAACAACATGCTCACTGAGGGTACTGGTGGCAAGTTCTGTACGCTGATTGCCAAGCACCATCCTGGAGATGGAACTGTAACTCTTGAGTCTGCCGAGCACCGCACCCAACATGTAGGAATACTTCCCAGTGGGGACATTAAAGGACCACACCAGACAGGACAAGGGGATCATGGCAAATTCTACGTCAACTAGTCAGACGGAGATCATGTTCGAGATTCATCGCTTTCTGGATTACCATTAATGACCAGTAGTCAGCGCACCCTTGATTTCTGTTTTCAAATGATATCTGTTAATAGTAATACTCTTAGTCTTACTCTTTTCAATTTTATTGTTTTAGCTAATTATTTTTTCCAACGAATTATATTTTATGACTCGTATTTTTAATTGCAATTAATGTTCATGTGAATTATTAGCTGTTTTGAGAATCAAAAATATTTTAAGCATTAGGGCATGACACCTCACACCAGTAGCGTTTGTTATTTTTATCCACAGAAACGTAAATGAATTCGATTTTCATATAATTTAATTATCATTATATCAACCAGTATGTTTTTGTTTTTGCTTTTAAAGGATCCGTTTTTCTACACCCCTTGTTTTTATGAATTCGTGTAGAGTGTAGAGTGTCAGTGATAAATCATCATCCGGTCCATGGTGTCTCAAATGTGCATAAAACCGAGAATATCCAGCCAAGCTCAGAAAAAACTGGGTTCTGGCTCTGCCGGATATTAATTCGGTTCCTACCGTGATGTAAATAATTAGCACATCTAAATAAAATGAAAGTAAATGGAATGGAATAATGTGCTTGCATGAGCTGATTGAAAGTAATCAACCTCGTGGAAATCTTTTAAATTGCAATTTGTTTTCGAATTTCTTAAAAAACGTAGCGAAATTTCATGCCAGAATTAAATAAAAATGATCAGAAGCACGCGGTAATTGTAACGTCCGTTACTGTTAGTAACCCAATTCGGAGGTCGTGTTGTTTGACAATTGCAATTGGATAATCTGCCAATTTCAAAATGTATGCGTGGAATTGGAAAGCTCGCGGTTCACACATACAAGGGAATAAAAGGACAATTAACTCACGGTAAACACACTCCGGCCCCCCAACCCTTTGCAACCAAAAAATTTGTCAATATTTCTCTTGATGTCCCTTCAATATGCGGTCTCTCAGAAGGCTCTCACTGCATGTCCCGTGATCAGCTCACATCAAGGCAGACAAAAACCTGAGTATATATGACATGAAACACACTTATGACACATGCTTTTGTAACGACTGTGTTTTGCTGCTTTAGTTGTTGTAGTATAAGTTACACAATCCGAATATTGTTCAGGGATTTTCATGATCGTGTGATCAAGAAACCATGGGCTCTAAATCTCGAGGTAAAGATAGAGTCCCGAGGAACTCTGGAAACTCTCAAGAAGAGTATGAACCAGTGTTCCAGGCACCTCCTAACTCACTAGATTTCAGTAACTACCGTTCTCCTGCCACTTCACCTACTAACTTAGCTTCCTCCCCTGAGCACCTGGTATCGGATTTGTCTCCTCCGCTAGAACCAGGACAGTGGAACCAGACGACCTGGAACACCAACAGGAACACAAAATCTCCTGCTGGCATCTTTAGTAACCTGGCGTTCAGAGGACCACACTCTCCTGAACCAGCGGACCTTCCCTACTCACTTCCCGTTATCTCCAGATCAACTAGATCCAGTGAGGAGAGCAGATCTGGAGATCTGGACCAGCGGACTCTGGCCAGTATCCTGGACAATCATCACAGCTCCCTGCTCGGTTCAGTTCGGTCTGCTCTGGAGATAAACAACAGTTTCCTGCACTGCAGACTTGAGGAGGTGGTGGTGGAGCTGGGAGGGTTGAGGAAGGATCTGGAGAGGGTGAGGAACAGAGGAAACGGGGAGAAGAGGTTGATGGAGTTGCAGGTCCAGCTGGACAGGGAGAGAGAGATGAGGAAGAGGCAGGCTGCTGAGCATAATGCAGAGATGGAATGCTTGCTCAGGCAGCTCTCTGACGTCATGTGAGGTTATAGGTCCAGTTGAGAAATTATCAAACGTCCTCAGTCCTCACCGTTTTCAGTTGATTTCTAAGTTTAGGTACAACTGTAGGCTTGATGCTTTTTCAGCTGGTTCCGGTTAATGTTATCCATGTTAGTTTCGTAAGCTAATTTACCTGGGGACCCCAGGCTGTTATATTTGCGTTCATAATCATAGAGATTAGGCGGAATGACAGGCTGAGTGCCGCCCAGTAAAAGATAATTTGTAATGGTCATATATATGAGCAGTTAATATGCTGTGCAGCAGTTGTGTGTATTCAAGTAAATTTGAAGGTTGTATTCGAGTAGTGCGTATTAAAGTTTGCAAGGTAATGGATTATCATAATACGCAAACAACAACTGCAAACTGCCAGCATCAGGCTGAGCCTAAATAAATTTAGGCTATTTTAATTGTTAAAATGACGAGAAGCCGGAATGCAAAAAAACCCACAAATGTGGTAAATTGGATTTGTTACATTCAAATGTTATTGTTGGTTTGGTTATGCATGGTACATTGTGATTTACTTTGGGTATATTAGATACGGTCAAACTTAATAGGGCTTGAATCAATTAAATATTGAATCATTCATTAATGATAATTAACTGTCTGCTGCCACAAACAAACCAATTAATTTGACTACATTATTGTAAGAACTTTTTCACTTTATCACTGATAGTATAGCTAACTTGAAGTTTTGTCGATTTTTACTAAAATCGAATCAGCTTATGAGTTAATGAAACTTTTGTTGCGAGCAGTTTTTTGCAAATAACTAAGCAGTTCTCAGGTAATTTTTCCTAATTAGAGTCTTTCTTTGCCAAGTTGAAGTATTATTTTTATCGCCGACTAGACTAAATAATTTCGTTGAGTTAACTTTTATAATTTCACCACATCCATTCATTGCACTCTAATTATTTTCCGTCTCGACTCTGTGATGGTAATAATTGTATTTTGCGGTTTAAAACGTCCGTTGATTGATTAAACAATGTCCAATAATCAATTATTTTCATTCCAGTATGTTACAATAAAACCTATCTTTCATTTTATTGAGTTTGAAAGGGAATTAGAGATGTGTGAAGTTGTGGTTTCTAGCTGAAAATGGTCGTCATTCTTCAAACACAAGATTTATTCATATTGATATTTTTAAATTTGATCTCGATTGTTACACCTTAACGCCTTGTATTAGGTATCGTTCATTTACCTCCCCCAACCCCTCCGTAATCACTTTTACACTTCGCAATTGTGTAAACCCACAGAAACCCTCTCCACTAGAGCTTTCTATTTAATATGTGAACGAACGAGCCTAAAATATTAACAAATAATGATGTAAAGGTTAATCGTGATTAGTGAAGGATTTGAGTTTTTATTCGACAATAAAACTAGCTGTACAGTGAAGATATGACCGGAAAGTTTGGCTCCGTTTTTTCGAAAAACGGAAAGGTAAGACTGTAAGCTATAAATATGGTTGCATCATTGCCCTTTTTGATGTGGGTGATTTTAAGATTCGTTGTTGTGAGTTCTGTTGGGATTGTCTCCACTTAGTTATTATTTCGCTGTTTCTGTTCCTGATCAATCCTGTCGATATTACAATATAAGAATATAATTACAGTCTTGATACTAAATGAAAGTGGCCTGAATGCAGGATACATTTATTCATTAATTTCTCAACCAGCAGACTGTCAATGGTATTGACACGTACGTGATCGACATAGTATTGTTTGATCATTTTTAAGTTTGAGTATACCTAAAACGCTCGGCACTGCTCAACAGCGCCATCTCGCAGAATATTATCAAAAACACGGTCATGTGCAACATATGAAGTTCAAAAGTTAAATTGAGTTGGGTTTATTCCTATTTGTGTTATTATTTAATTCTGCTCCAGAACATTGTATAAATAGCCGCGGTGCGACGGAGACAGATAATCCAATTAGTATCTGAAGCCTTGCTTTTACGTTTCATCTGTTAAACCGTGGTTTACCGTGATATATGTAATAATCTAATATGGCTGTTTTAAAGTCAAAAAGTCAGCCAAAACGAACCACCAAAGGTGATCAGTGGCTTCCCTCAACAACTAAGTCCAATCTTAGGGAATTGAAAAATAATGTGAGTTTTATAGCACCCATTTTTAGAGTTGTATAATTGTGACGTGATATCATTATGTGGTTGACAATTTGTTTTTGTTAATTAGCCTGAGTGTATAATTTCATGAAGTTATTTTAGAATTATTGAATATTGTCCTAAATTCTGTTGAATTGTTTGAAGCAGTTTGTTTCTCGTTGTGGTAATTTTCAATATTTCTTTTTATCATTTTTGATCAACTCTAAGGATCAGTTACAAAAAAAGCTAATGTTTTGATGTGAACGTTTTCTGAGTGAAATTCTAACAATAGGATTGTCAATTTGCTGACTTGAAAATTATTTTTATCCTTAGATGGCTGACGAAGACGAAAAGCCAGTACCAGGTATTATTATTTTATGCTTAATACGCTGTTTATCTCAGAACAAAATCAGAACAAACACAATAATCCCAACATAACTTCTTCAATAATTCATATGGCGCTCAACCAGTCATATCAATAAACGAGGGTAATAGAGGGACGCGGTCGAGCAGGTCTGTTGTGACTGCGATTACCGTTAGAATGATCAGCTAATGGCATCGACTAACCAAACTATTTCATCAACTGTGCAACCTTTCCAGCTTGTTACTTTAGTAATAATAATTCTATCCACCCAGATGCAGAAATAGCACCAGAGATCGCTCCAGCTAACAGTAACCAACAAAACCAGGTAGACCAAGTTTACTTCAATCTTTATTTAATATTCACTCTTTAATAAACGCAGGAATTATTATATAAGAACTTTTTTTTCACTAGCTGTAGTAAGCCACCACAATTTGTTTCTTTACATTTCATTCTTGTTTCAAAAACATTACTGTGTCGCGTACCAATTGTGACTCTTAGAGACCAATGTGATTATTTCTTTACTTAACAATACCCGACAGACTGACGACAAACCACTGACTAACAATCTGGAGAATGTAGAGAATGTAGAGAATGTAGAGAATGTGGAAAATGTAGATCCATCAGAGGTTGCAGATTGTGCGGATGCTACCCTAGCTGATGCTGCCGATATAATCACTGACGGTGGCTTCACTATCACTGACGGTGGATTCACCATCACTGAGGATGCTGCTACTCCAGTTCCTGCAGAAGAAGGTGATGATTGTAACGATGGTGAACGAGTCAAACAGTTTGTTAATGAAGAGGAGGAGAAGATGGTTGGTGGTGATGGTGAGCAGGAAGAAAATAAATGTGAGCCGGATGAGAACACTATCTCAAACAATGATCAGGAGTCCATGATCATATCAGCAGTCACCCCAACACCAGCTACAGTTGAGACAGAAGATAAAATACTTAACACAGCACCTCGTGAGGAGGAGCATATCATCAGTAAGGCTCCTTCAATAGACTCCTTAAACAAGGCTCCTTCAATAGGCTCCATAAACAAGGCTCCCTCAATAGATGATTTACAGACTCTTGATGAAAAGAGCTTGGTATCTGAAGTAAATGTGACAGGACAACCACTGAGAAAATTATCCACCCCCATGGCAGGCTTTATCGAGGTCGAGGAAATAGATCTAGATCAAGGAGGATCAGGGCCTAAAGATGACTTTGTGGTGATTGGGGATACGAATAAGAAGGGTGAAGAAGGTCTGAGGAATTTAGTGAAGGATCATGAGAAAAGACTGAGTTGTGCCTCAATTTCCGTCTCAAAACTGTCTTCGAGAGACAAAGCTAGGGTGAAGAGGGTTTCGGAGAAGAATCTTAAGACGATCAAAAAGGAAGTTGAAAAACTGAAAGAAATTGACCTAGACTATTTGAAGACATTGAACAGACACAATAATACTGTTGACGTGAGTCGCGACTTTAAATAAATCAAATCCAATCACTGTTACCGAGTCAGATCAACTAATCGACTGTAATCATTTCGTTAAATTTGCAAATATTAATTTATAAAATGATTTTCTAGAAGGAAGAAGAGAAACGGAAAAAGAAGAAAAAGAAGAAGGAGGGCGAGAACATAAAGCCGGGGGAGGACAGGACGATAAAGAAATCCAAACGAGTTTTCATCGAGGGAGATAAGGAAGTCATCGTTACAATTACAGAAGAGACTGTAGTCAGACCGATAAAAAAAGGGAAGAAGTCCAAAAATCGTAGAAAGGTACGACTAAGATAATATCTATACTTATAAAATAGGTACAGCCAGAAAACTTCATATGTAAGCGATTTTTAAGGAAGGAAAGGAAATCATTTAAAAAGATTTATGACTATCCACGTTCGTATTACATATTAACTATTATCTAAAAAAAAGAGCGTGCTCTGTTATATTAAGGGGACATACACCAAAACCTTTTTTGCCGGAATTCGGGATTTGACTTCATATTATGAAAATATAGATAAAAACAGTAAAATTGGATACATTGAAAAATTCTTTTGAGAGTAAACGCACTTTCGAAAAAAAATTCTTTTTGGAAAGTTTTTTAAATTTGATAAAGTCTGTCACTGAAATATTAATAATTTAGTAATTTTAAAAGTTTTTTGGCTGATTTTGTTACCGAACATTATTTACAATCCGTACAAGATCAGAAGCCCTCTAAAAGATCATATAATTGAACAATAAATGACAAAGTTACAAAGCAAAGTTGAAAATCAGCTTGATGAAAGGATGATGATTAACTATTCTACACTCGACTGTCACGTGACTTTTTCAACCTGTTCTCTAGCTGGTCCTGACGACTATTCGAAACCCTAACCCTTTAATCTGATCCCAACCCTACTAACCCTAGCCCAATCCTTAACAAAAGCATGCAAGGCATACGGTGAAACCCTAACCCTAACGAGATCAGAAATTAGACTTACTTCCTTCATCCTTATACGGTCATATCACGTGATCGGGACAATTTTTCGCCAATATCTCGTTAGGGGAGCATTTTAACCCTATGTCATGGGGTTGTAGCGCGATGCGTTACTGTGCCGCGCCGCGCACTTAATAAGGCCGATCTCTGGCTAGATCGGCAAAATGCGCTACTGTGCCGCGCCGAGCTGCCATGAATTGACATCGTCAATTAAGTCATGGGGGTGATTCGGAATCAGCGTCCGAAAAATACATCGATTGAAGTTGGTTTCAACTGCATGCCGGGGGCCTTTTTAAAACAATCTCGAAGATCTACTGTAAAGTGATTTAGCTAAAATTTAAAATATTGGAGGACAATTCGTCGTTGGAGGACTTCGCCGCTTCGACGCGCCGCGCAAACTAGCATTCTTGCTTCGCATCGAAGACAAGATCGTTGCAGACAAGCTTGTCGAAGACAAAATCGTTGCTCTGCTTCGCAAAGCAACGATCTAGAATTGAAGGGTTGACATCGTCAATCAAACTCCGCCGCTTCGACGCGCCGCGCAAACTACAAACTAGCATTATTGCTATCTATTCTACTTGTGAAACAAGCGCGTCACGCAGTACGCGTAGACACATGGCTTTGTGAACTTCGCATCGAAGCAGACTGCAAGAGCGTTGCTTTGCTTCGCAGAGCAACGATCTGGAAGAGTTGACATCGTCAATCAAGCTAAAATATAATGTGTACAATTATGATTATACTAAAATTATTTGAAACCGTACCAATGTATCGTGACCACCTTGTATTATTGCAATTATAATAAGGCCAAACATTTTTTAATCATTTTATCATACGCGGAAATAATTAAATTTTTACCCAAAGCCAAAAATACCATTATTATTTATTATTATTAGTTATTATGCAATTTCCTCAATATATTAAAAGATGAAAATCAAAATTTTTGCAGGTTCATATCAAACATATTTTGGGTCTGAACAAATTTAAAATTCTTGTGTATATGATATAAAGTACTCAGTTTAAATTTTACTAATTCTATAAACACTTTTTTGATACGCTTTCGCATGAACCCACTCCTCCAACAAATTTGACAATGTATGATAAATAATATAAATGATTTTGTAAAGTTAAAATGTTCCTTACATCTTAGCTTTATAATATTGTTATTATAAAACATAAAACACCACACGCTCACAGAATCTTTAGTTTATCCATCACGAGCCGCGCGCACTTATCAGAAATATTCCATTTTTGTGGAACAAATATTTCGCTTTGGATAAAATGGTTTCGCGCTATTTCATGCCAACTATCTGCTTTCACAATCTTTTCAAACCACTTTTGCTTGAACCACATTTTAGCTTTATACACTGATCCCTGCCTATTACCAGTCGTCTTACGCCATCTTGCTACCATGGTATCAGAAACTATCGCAGAAACTGTCAACGAAACCCCTGTAGTCATAAAAACTGAAGTAGACCTCGAGAATCACACCGTGGAGGAATCCGACTCAGAGAAGAAGGATTTGCCAGAGAAGAAATGCGAGGAGCCGGAAGTTGCTGATAACAGAACTGCAGAGGAAGCACCTGAAGACATTGTAAGTTTTATTTCATGTACGGCATCTTTAGTTGTTGATACCCGAGAGTCGAGTGACCCGTCATATTTTCGATCAGACCTGTAGATCATAGTATCACATTTCGAGTTTCAGAGATTGAACCCAATAAATACGAGCATAATCTAATATGATATAATCGAATTTGTTGAATAATTTATGGGTTGGGACGTTTTGGTATGTACATAGTGGAGTGAAACAGACATATCCATTTAAGGACATCATTAGATTGCGAGTTAGGACTCTAAATTGTCAATGCTATATTATTTGTCCTGGTGAACAACCGCAAATGTTTTATTAGCAGCGGGCATGTTTGTACCTCTCACCCCTCGTGAGCATCGGAAACATTGTCTTCATTTTAAGATTCAAGGGAGCGTAGCTGTAGAATTGAATTGCTGCCAACAGCAAATGGGCGATTGAGACTAAGGAATTTTACGTAACTCTCCTTCAAATTAGCGGCTCACTTTTCATATCGTATCCCTGTCACCTTGCCAGGATCCCTGCGAAATTTCCAAACTTCTTCCTTGATCCCGTATTACGCCATTTCATCCTTATCTACTCTTCTATATCTAACGAAGCCACTAGTTACTGAATTAATACCCGTCTATATTGAATAGCTGTCGATACTCCCCAAATCACCAGGGTTACGTCACCCCAACTAGTCTCTCTGATATTTATAGAACACGCCTTACCAAGATACTGTCCTGATTTCTCTGTTAAGTTTGCCAGACCCTTTGCTGCCGTGGTGGCTCCAGTATCCCCCGGATGTACACTGGAAGTGCTAATATATCTCTATCTCTATAATAGCTCTCACTAGTATTATGTAGTGTGTGTGTGTGTAAAGCTGTCAGATTATATCCCACCACTGTAATTAGTGGGGGGAGCTGATCAGCCCGCTGACCGGCAAGCTAGAGGGGCGTGTGTAACAGTAGCCTCCACTTTTCATCACCCGCTCCTCCCAATCCCCTGCTTCCCTCAACACCACCTGACCTCCCCCACCAATCACAGCCCACCTTGTCACTATGAACAGCCAGTCAAACTCCAGCTAGCTATCACGTGACAGCTTATGTCACTATCTCTAAGTTAAGAAGACCGTCAAGACACTTCTTCCTCAACACAGCAGGGTTTGCTGCGGGGATATACTCCCTCAGTGTTCGCGGCTAGTGTCGCTACCAGCGCAGCTCCATGCTCAGCAACAATCTCCCCGCGCAACTATCCCTAGTAACCCTAGCAACTAGTTACCCTAGCAACTATCCCTGTAGTTACGCCTCGTCATAATTTCTGATGATCTAATGGGAGGTAGTTCCGACAGATACTACTTCTCTTCTGTACCTGTCAGCTCTTATGAGATGACTTAATCTTGTACAGCGTCTCCTGCTTTAGGTCTTTTAGGGAATTTCTGAGTTTCATCTTAATCAAAAATTCTGGATTTAGGGTTGCCTTTTCATTTGAACTACTCAGTGTTAAGATTGAAAGTGAGCCAGGGCAAAATGTATGGCCTTTTGATAAGTCTCCTTTGTCATTTACAATTTCTGTTTGGGCATCTTTCTTTTGACTCCTTTGACGGCAATGATCAAAACTATACAAGCCACACTCCTTTAAACTAATAATTATCTAATTTCATATAGTTCTCTATATTATATATTATACATTCGAAGTCGAAAATTTCTTTAGAAGTTGCAGGTGTTAAATTTGCAAGCGGCTCGTGTACGTGTTTTTTACGCTCTTTTACTCCTACGAAGAGAAGATAGTCATTAGTGAGTCAGTACTTATCTATTGGTTTATCTTATGGGTAATTTGGTGCTTTTGTTAATATCCATCGGACGTAAATTAAATGAGTTTTTGTTATTCGATATTCTTAAGAAATTATATTTTATTTATACCGTTAGTTATCAGCTGCCTTATCAGGGCTCAATAAATCATGAATTAATGGTGGATGGGGTTGCTCGGTAACTTTCTTGATAAATTGTCGCTGATTCTCGGTAATTTCGAAACAAGTTCTCGACGTTTCTCCGGTTAAAGTTTATTAATAAGACACCGCTGCTGTATTTTAACTCAGTAGTACTCGTCATTTGGCCAGAGTCGTCGCTTGTGACCTGGATCTGTGTCAATGGTCAGTAGAATATCCCGTAAGTTACTGTTTTATAATACGTATCTATAAGAAGCTGTGCCCACCAGGGGCGCTATTACCCAGATACACACTGGTCACAATATCCCGTGATAACAAACAGGACGCAGTACAATAAGTAACAATCTCTCCAAACCAGGACTACTCATCTTGCAAGTCATGTGACATAGCTTACTCAACTCTTATCAACTCTAATTATCCAATTAGCAAATCATTACTCAGTAAACACTCGTTCTAACTTAACTGTAGGTGACAGATGTTCTTTAAGCTGAACAGCTCGTCAGTCACTATTTCTTTAATTTTTATATTCAACATATTTTAAGTTTTATCCCCAAGTCACAGATCTATTCGACACATTTTTCTGTTTTATCTTCAAGTCATACTCATGTTAATAATCCTTTCTGCATTGCCGCTCTACACATGATAACGATTGTGATTTTCTACTTAAAACTGCGATCAAACTCAACTCCACACGGCTCTTATCTAATACCTAGTAATCTCCCAAGTTTTACCTCATCATTAATATCCTCGCTTATTCTCCTACTCTACTGCCGCTTATCATGACGTACTACTACCACAGTTAACCTATATAACCCCTCCACTCTCCAGTAGACCGGTATCACGTGACAATAACCTCCACAATTAAGTTACATTAGTTGCAGTACAATTAAGAGTATTGCTTGCTGACTCCCACTGCAGACCACTTCACCCTCCCGACCAATATATTATAATGTTTTACTGCCTATCCAACGTATTACAATATATTATAATGAAGCTCTAAAGAATATTAATACAGATAATGGAGACATTGGGAGCTAGAGAGACAACTCCGTTATTGTGATTATGTATAGCTACAGATATAGCTACAGTCTGCAGTAGCCTACAGATCCTGTGTTGGTATTGGCGGGAGTTGCGGTGTTGCGGAGTTGTCCTTGTCGAGCTCTTATCATTAGCTGTGTAGCTAAATAGCGTGGTGGTCTTTAGTTTAGGCTTTTGTTGATTGTAGCCGTGTGGAATGTGGATTGTAGCGTAATTTACGTTCAATCTGGAATCTGGAACTAACTCTGTTACTAATTCTGTTACTACTTATATTAACTCTGTCACTAATTCTGTTACTTTCAATTGTTAATGGTGAGTTTTATTAATATTATATAATATGTACGCGCGGCTGCAGCGTTTCTTTTTCAAGCTGTTTTTTTGTCGAGACATGAAAGTTAAAGTTGTCTCTTTTTGTTTCAATCTATCAGTTGTAATCAGTTCAACATGATATTGGATACAAATACTGAAAGTGAGTTGTAAGACTTAGTACTAGTGTATAATGTAGTACACACTGTAGTATACCTCACGTGAATACACTACAGGAAGTGGATTACAGCTGGTTAACATGGGCTAAACAATGAGCCCACACATGCCTCCCTAACTGTAGTCATCTAAGTAGCAACTCTCACTGAAATTACAGTACTTTAATGTACGCACAGGAACCGGGTGATAAAGTCACCTGACACGGCGAAAAAGTCACGTGGTTAGCTGAAACCAAGCCGGTATTCTGCAGTGGTTTCAAAATAAGAAAGACCGTCGTCTATTCTGGTCTAAATTTAGAAATATAGTTTCTATTTTGGAGAGCGTAAGTGAGAAAGGTGGTATATTGAGGAAACACACGTACACAGCAAGAATACTGTCTGTTTAGGAGGTCTAACCGGTGAAGCACGGTCCATTCTGTTACAGGTCTTTCAGTGAGAGAGAGTTGAAACACTGAAACATCTCTATTGCCGCTCAAGTGGGAGGGAGGGAGGGAGGGAGGGAGGGAGGGAGGGAGGGAGGGAGGGAGGGAGGGAGGGAGGGTGGGAGGGAGGGAGGGAGGGAGGGAGGGAGGGAGGGAGGGAGGGAGGGAGGGAGGGAGGGAGGGAGGGAGGGAGGGAGGGAGGGAGGGAGGGAGGGAGGGAGGGAGGGAGGGAGGGAGGGAGGGAGGGAGGGAGGAAGGGAGAGAGGGAGATGGCACTGAAACATCTCTAGTGACTAGCGACTACTGTGGAATGTGGATAGCAGTATCCTTAACTTCATATTTAAGTCGTTATCCGGATATATAAGACATGATGTCATGCCCCAGTGATAAATCTAATTGTAAATAATTTCTGGCAGAAAGAGAGAGATCATTCTCCCTGTAATTTGATAGAATCTCCTCGATTTTCTGAACCGGACAAGTATTACGTTATCCGGCTGTACCCGGTACTGCTATTACCTACCTATACCTCTTAGTCTATCACAGCCATTATTAATAGTCATTACTTCCTTTCAATACGAGATCCAAATTGTATCTTGAGTATCTAGTTTTTCTATCGAACAATCTACGCTAACAGTACCTGATAAGATGTTGTGGCATTGTTCGTTCCCGTGCATTGTTCGCTGCCTCCCCACATTTCCCATCCTACCTATCTTACATATCCTACCTATCTTACCTAGTACCTATCCTACCTTCCCCTCGTTACAGCGACAAAGCAGGTCACATTAAGAGCTGTCACGTCATTGGTAGAGCGGGAGATTTGCGTTAAGAACTGCTGTAGCATGTACCCTGGTTTGATAATGACCTCTGTAGGCCAGGATAATACATATGTTTATATGTATGGAGGGTAGGGGGCAGCTGCCTGATGCTTGGAACGTGTTCTCGGACATGATCTCCTTCTTGTTGTTATTACTCCTCCTCCCGCTCTCTTTTATCTGATAATAAGAGTAGTTTCACAGGGTGATTTTTGGTTTTTATTGTAGTAAAAGTAAGGTATATTATCTGGTTAAGGAGCCGAGGTAACATATGTGGGTATTATGAGGAGAGGGGCTAGTATAAGTACACACTCTCAACCAC